TATTTAATATATTTATTTTCATAGTTATATTTACTTTCACTATTATATTTATTATCTCTATCTTATAATTGTATTTTTTATAAATATCTTGTATTGTCGCCTTGACAAACTAATAAGTTTCAATTGTACAATAAAAGAAGTATAATCTTAACAACCTAAAAACTATATTTTTGCCAATATCTATTTCCTTAAAATATAAATCATCAATAAAGACGACCTGACCCTTCAACTTAGATAAATTCGTATTTATTTCTTTCATAGTTTACAACTTAAACTCCCTGTTAGTAAATAAGCTTTGTTATTCTAATGACGTAGTGTTTAGGCGTAACAGCGCTCTCAGTTATGTACTGTCCAACATCACGCTTCAAAGATCGTAAATTTGTATTTGTATCTTCATACCAGGCTTCGGTATCAGTTACTAATGCTTCTATTTCTGAGAGTGAACATAGATCATCGAATGCAGTTCCAACTTAAAATGTATTTAAAATTAGTTTCCAAGACTCATGTGATAAATAATTTAATTATACATTGCGGGATCAGATTAGGTTTCCATTTTCATAAAGTCTCAAATGCTGGCAAAATGTTTGATATGTAGTCATATGCTAATATATGGTATAAAACTAGTTACTGCCATGCGGGAAGTAATAATATTACAACAGACATCATTCTCTTTACTAGTGATTATACCATAGGAAACCTAAAAAATACAAGTCATCATATCCATATATTTTTCATAAAATAATTCATTACCATATCTATTTAGCTAATTTTTTCCCAGTACCAAAACTTTGAAGTTTTTTCTTCGCTCGATATCTTCTGGGAGGACTCTTTCTAAGACTCTTTTCAGAACATTCTCAAAATTCTCTACCTCCTTTTCGAGAATGCTTGTCCATTTACCTTCCTCTACTTGTACAAATAATGCTGTGGAGATTCTGGCAATATCGAGGGGTTCTCTGGTTAAAAGAAACTCTTTTATGTTTTAATATAATAAGAAGTTAAATATTAATGAAAAGCTTGCTAGGTGAAGTAAAAAAATAATGTACAGTAAATTTCAATACCTTTTTATCATACTGTCTTTTTAAATGTCTCGCATTTCCATATTCTCATTTCTTTGAGCTCGAGTTCTATGTTTGGGAAGAGATAGGAGAAATATGCAAGGCACTTTATGTCAAAATTTTGTGTTAAAGAATAGCCATTAAGGTGCTTTGCAAGGGCATGTGAAATATACATTAAAGATCTCAACATTTACAAAGGCGTTGAGGAATATGCATATACATACTTTTTTTATTTCACTTGTCCGACCGCTCAGTAATAAAGGCCTAGTAGCATTATACAACTACACTTCGGTCAAAATCTAGTAGGAATAGCCTCTAGCATCAGAGAAAATAAACTCATAAATAAATGCTATTTAGATAGATAGGGAAAAATTTGAAATATTTTAGGATCGATTTGTGTGAAAATTGATTTGTCGCACAAGCAGTCATACAGAGTTACAGATGATTTGCAGTATATCATCTATTACATCATATATACTTTAACGAGGATCGAAAAATGTGCTAATTTATGTTACACTGTCGCATACACCTACATGCATTATGCGTAAAAAATAGTGTAATGGTAGTAAATAGATATTATCGATTTTTTTGAATACTTTCATAATAGGCAATAGTAGATAGCAAATCAAACAGAAACCTTTGCGAGAAATCAACACTCCCATATATTGCCCTATCCAATCGTCATCTTAACTGATATTTCTTAGCTTCTATCTATCTACTAGGAGAACAATAAATATACTTCTCAAATGGTGGGGTTGATTTGATTAGATTAATTATTCCAATGTATTTTGAGTAATGTTTTCTAAAATAAGCATAAAACTCTTCACAAGCTATAACATATTCTTCTTGCGTCTCAGGATTTTTTACCTTCTGATAATATTCAAGTATACTTAAGAATTTCTTTCTATCAGAAGTACCATTATTCCTCACCGCCTCCCAAACTCATTTTGCCGAAGATTCAGGTCTCTTCTTATAATTCCTGTAAGCTTGCTGGATAACTGTTGCATAAAAATTCTCAAACTGATAGTATTGTCTTGCAATCAAGAATCCTCAAGACCGTTTCATAGATAGTTCACTAAAATAGTTATACAATATATTGGAGGATCTAACCCAAAATAGGCAAATCAGGTTTTTCTTCATGTATATAAAGCATTTTACAATTTCACCAGACGATTATCTATACAGATTTTATTTCACAAAAAAAATGGTATGAATAATTCATATATCACACTTTTAGCTAAATATAATTGAGATAAATAATGGTATTATTCAGTCGAAAGATATTAAGTTTATCTCCACATTATTTCACACAGAATTAAAATATTCCTCAGCATCAATTAAGACCTGGTTTCTCTCAAATCTATAGGCTGAAATTTCTGGTGCACTTGTACTACGTCGCATAGTATATCTCTTGAAGCCATTTATTAATGCAATAGGCTTTGGTGATAAAGGAGGAGGGATCAATGAACGTGGCTTATCTATCCAAGATTCCCTTTGGGAATAGTAACTCTGATATTGGACAGGCTTTTTTGGAAAAGGAGTTAAGAAAGTATTGTTCATACAGATATTTTTTTGCTGGTTATAAATATAGTGAGGCTTGTTAGGCGTAGTGTTTACATTACTTTGCACTTTTTGCTTTTGCCTGATACGTCGAATCCTATTTGATATATTTTTCAACCACATCTCATATCGACGGATTGTCTTCTTTATGAAATAGCAAGGTGGAGGATTATTTTTCAGCTTCATGTAGTCTTCGAATCGAAACTCATATCACAATATTCATTTTCAGTACAATTTGTATGCCAATGCTTATCCATAAAGTATGCATGGAAATACTCATACCCGCTTTCTAATTTGGAATAGACGAGCTGATTACAAGTATAGCATATTCCTATATTTATTCCGAACCAAACATTACACTGATATAAGGCCATTTCAAAGTTGTTCGATCGGCATTTTGATCGTCAAATCCAGTAACCAATCAAAATTTATGATCGAAAT